TCTGGAAAATACTAGCAATGCCACTCTCCATGAAGTATCTGTCAGTTTTCCCATGAGACAGGTTAATAGTGTTTATTAACATTTGCTTCTTTAGACTAGAAGAGCTGCTGGTGTGTTTTTCTAGTCCCGGAAGGCTCAAAGGTTAGAACGTTGGCAGTTTTAGTGAATGATTCTATTGCTTCTGCTGGATTCCAGGGACAATTAAATACTTACCTAATGGGGATGCCCCTTTACACACACACCAGTGGTTTCCCCACACTAGGAACTCAGTGAAGAGCTGTCAGATCACTGGGAAAAGGGGCAGCACAGAAATGCATCGATCACACTTTTCTTTAGACCAATGATTGAGAATACACACTAGAAGTCCTCAAGCCAAGAGGATTTTGAGGTTATATTTTAAATAGCTTTTTAGCATTGAGCAAATTATCTAATCACTGTCTTCGTTGTTCTCCTAGACAACTTCATACTTCTTTGACTCAAATGCTATTTTTCTTAAGATTCTAGGGCTTGTACAGAAGACTCAATCTACTGTGAAACATCTTAATTTTTGGAGGGATGTTTTTGACGCTAATTTATTTTTTCATTGAAGTATAGTTGATTTACAATGTTGTGTTGGTTTCAGGTGTACAGCAAAGTGATGCAGTTTTATATAAAAAACTGGATTCTTTTCCGTTATAAGTTATTACAGAATATTGAGTAGAGGTCCCTGTGCTATACAGTAGGCCCTTGTTGGTTGTCTGTTTTATATATAGCTGTGTGTATATGTTAATCCCAAACTGTGAAGTACTTTAAATGTGTCCTCTCTTGTTGGCACAGGCAACGTTTTAGCAATCTGACAGGGAGGCAGAACCCAGTTTTCAAGCACAGAGATTCATTACACTCTGTGGTCAATCTAATGTTTTTCAGCAAAAAGACTGTTTCCTGGGACTATCCCAAAATTTAGAGAGACATAGGATGTCAGAATTGTGGGGATCGTCTAATTCTCCCACTCGCTAATATTATTACAAAAGAAATTTAACGTTTTCCGGTTATAGAAAAATCCCAGTTTGCTGGAGTGTCACAGGGATGTGGAAAAAATCAGGGTGACTACGGTGTGTCACACAGGAACTGCACAGCGTGTACCTGCTGGCCGCGCCCCCTGAGCCGCCGCCTCCCCACCTGGGCAATGAGAAGTATCTTAGATGCACCTCCAGGACCTCGCTCTTTGGCATCCTCCTCTCTTGACACCAGACCACCTCTGTTTCCCTCTTGCTTTTCTGTTTCTGACACTTCTGTTAGCTAAAGCCTCTTAGGTCCGTGTCGAGCAAACTGCGAAACTGCATCAGTAACAGCGCTGCTGTTTGCTCCTTTGTAATAATACTATTTGTCGGGCACTGTGCAAAGTGCTGGAAGATGAGCCAGCTGTGCGCAACTCAAGAGCTCGCGGGTTAACTTTTGAGATTTTCTATGGCTTCCAGTTGGTTCTTTAGCACATCCCAGAGTCTATGTGCATTTATAATAGTTGAGTCAACAGAGGCATATGAGACCTTAAAAATACCCTAAAACAAGTTCCAAAATATAGTTTTCCATCTAAAAGGGAAAGGAATGCATATTATCTTGGGCCTGCCATAAGTCAGTCACCGAATCCTTCATATACATTATCCCAGGCAGCCCTGACAGAAGCAAGACGGGGAGTTATGACTATCTCATTTTACATATGGGGATTCAAACAGATACGTGTGCTGTCAGCTCACTAATGCACTGGGTCTCTGCAGGGCTTTGCTCACCAGGTATTATCACGCTTTGGTGGAGCAGACTCCACTTTGATGTGTGACTAATGAGACAACAACGCTGCAGATGCAAAAAAAGCTCCGAGGAACTCCTGAGAACATGTGATTTAATCAGAGAAGGCCCCAGCTGTTTGATCTGACGTCAGTGAAGGTGCAGGAGGGCCTCATCGATTAGAATCTGAGTCTGGGTGGATAATCAATACCCCTCAACAGTGTGATTCTGAAATGAACACAGATGCTGCTTTTCATTTAATAAATCCATGCAGTAAGGATCCCAAATCTTAATTCTTATCCATGTACCATATGGTTCGAGTGTATGTAGGTATGCCACGAGAGTAAAAAATAGGTCAATGGCTTGCATTCTTTTTTTTTTTTGTGGTACGCGGGCCTCTCACGGCTGTGGCCTCTCCCATTGCGGAGCACAGACTCTGGACGCGCAGGCTCAGCGGCCACGGCTCACGGGCCCAGCCGCTCCGCGGCATGTGGGATCTTCCCGGACCGGGGCATGAACCCATGTCCCCTGCATCGGCAGGCGGACTCTCCACCACTGCGCCACCAGGGAAGCCCCGTGTGGCTTGCATTCTTTATTGTGCTTCTTCCTCAGATAAAAAGGAGTTCGATGCTTTCATATCCTATGGGAAATGGAGCTCTCTTGAGAGTGAGGCCACTTCATCTCTGAGTGAGGAAAACTTGGCTCTGAGTCTATTCCCTGAAGTTTTGGAAAACAAATATGGATACACCTTGTGTTTGTTTGAAAGAGACGTGGCCCCAGGAGGAGGTAAGTCCTGCACGCCAACAGAAAACGTAGCACAAGAAGGAGAGTTACGTGCAAGCACTCTCTACGTTGTCTTGTCATTCTTTCTGCTGGGCTATTTATCTTCTGGAAGGTTTCATGAGCTTAGAACTTCTGGGGCAACAACACAGAAAAATGTGTGTTGCAGAGACACGCTCCATCATCAAAAAAATCCATCTTCAATGGATATACGTATATGTCTAACTGCACCACTTTGCTATACACCTGAAACTAACACAACACTGTAAATCAACTATACCCCAATATAAAATTAAAATTTAAAAATAAACAAAATTGCCACAGGAGGAAAATGATCCATTTTCAGGAAAAATCATTATTGGAGCGCAGGGAGCCTTCCAGAATGAAGATCTCTTTTCTGGCTCCTCAACAGGAAGTTATCTCTTGTCCTCCCAAACGGGTGGTCCCCCTGCTTTCTGGGACTGTGCCTGACACAAGCTCAGGACTGGGTCCAGCAGACTCCCCAGGCCCGGGCCCAGTCCTGGGCACGATCAGATGTGCAGACCTTATCCTGTCCCGCTGACCTCCTCTGCCTGAGATGCGCAACCCAGGAGCCTGGGACATTCCATGCCCCTCTCTTATCCCAGCCAACCTTGTTCCAACGAGCTTTGCTCCTAGAGGAATTGGCAATTTGAGGAGACAGAACACAGGGAGGAATGTGAAACTGACACTCACTAGACACTGGAACATATCTTCAACTGTCCACAGAGTTGATTTAGGAGAAGTGATAAAGAAAACCAGGCTTCCTTTCCTCTTTGCCTCAGAGTGCCCATTGCAAGGAACCCGCTGGATGGATCTGGGAGATTCAGGGTTATTGTGACTCAGGGTTTAACAATAACAATGTCATGTATACACTGATGTGTATAAAATTGATGACTAATAAGAACCTGCTGTATAAAAAAAACAAACAAAAAAACAACTAATAGTAAACTTTCTTTGGGTTATTTGTATGGAAATATGCTAATATAAATGTTTCAGACATTACATGAAATTTCTAAAAATCTTATATGTTCTGGTATAATGTAATAGGTCATAATTCTAGTTATTACTTTAAAATGTATAACTCAGAAATAACTACATTTCCTTGTCAATTGCATTATTATGAACTTTTATCAAATCTTTAACCGTGGTCATTAAAAAAAAAAAAACAATAACAACGTCGAATAATTAAATCTTTTATTTCCAGCGTATGCAGAAGACATTGTGAGCATTATTAAGAAAAGTAGAAGAGGAATATTTATCTTGAGTCCCAGCTACGTCAGCGGACCCAGTGTCTTTGAACTACAAGCAGCAGTGAACATTGCCTTGGAGGATCAAACACTGAAACTGATTTTAATTAAGTTCTCTTCCTTCCAAGAGCCGGAGTCTCTACCTCATCTAGTGAAAAAAGCTCTCAGGGTTTTGCCCACTGTCACCTGGAGAGGCTTCAAATCAGTTCCTCCCAATTCCAGATTCTGGACCCAAATACGCTACCACATGCCTGTGAAAAGCTCTAAAGGATTCACGTGGAATCATCTCAGAATTATCCCAAGGATTTTTTCTGTAGAAAAGAATCAGTAAAACAGAAACCGCTGGGAGGCACTCCCAGCCTAAAGGACGGTGAAATGGGCCCTGAGCTGCCTCCTCCTACACCCCTCCCGTCCTGTCCCTGGTGAGTAGAGAGAGACCCTGATGGACAGAGCACACAGCGTGGATCAGGCTGATATAGAATGGGAAGCGTTCTGCCAGCCCTGAGCGAGTGTGGCGGGCACTGGAATGACACGAAAACTATTGTGGGAGCCTCAGATTTCCTGGGCTAGACAGAGGGAGAGCGAATTCAGCCCACACGGCCCCTAAGATTTTCCTAGCGGTCTCAGCGGAATCAGCAGATACAGCCACTTGGCTTTGTGGCTATGGACTTGTCATGTCTTCTATGTATTGTTCACATCACTTTATAGATCTTTGCAGTCAAATAAATATTATTTTATTAGAAACAAGTGATTTAAACTTTGCCTAAACCGTCTCTGTGAAGAAGACAATTCTTATTCCGTGTTCACCCATTCACTGGAGCACAGAAAGCAAGTCGGAGAGGCAGAGACCAGGGGCAAGGAGCAGACAGGGCCATGGTTCCTCTCTACTGTGTCCTTGTGAGAGCTGGAAGGAAGAGCCCCTTCCTCGGGACCCGTGTAGCCCTGAGCCAGGACACAGGGCTTGGGGAGAAGAGTGGGGCCAAGTTCAGCTCATCCTTGTTGCCTTGGCCTTTGCGCAGGGCATGAAGTACACAACCTTACTCGGGGCCATAGGAAGTAGGAACCAATTAGGCCAAAATGATTTGGAGGAGACAAGGAACAGACCAGCAGTTATGTGCAAAGTAGAAAGGCAGAAGCCAGGACAAGAGTCTGGAAAATAAATGTCTACACTGGTTAAAGGACAGCAAGACTGGGGCTTGCCTCTCGAGGCTGGTGGCCCCCATGTGCTTCCTGACTATCTGGTCTCCTTGAGTTCCTCCTAAGTGATGGGCCTTAGGCCAGAGGACCAAGAAGCTGTTCCACGTGGACGAGGCTCCTTTCATTCTCGCCAGTGTTTTCCTGATGAGAGTTCAATGTGTGGTTCACAGGGCGTTCTAGTCTCACATGAAGGTACAACACTCATGCTTCGTCTTCCCCGACAGAAGGGCGCGATTTATTTGAGCAATAAAGAAAAACGATCTCTAGACGCGTTCACATTTAACGTGTCCCATCCGCTTGTCCGAACGTGATCCAGGTTTGGAGGGGCTCAGAGTCATTGCCATCTGGCCACTGCTGGGTGCCTGTGTGAAAGGCTTTTGAGGTCTTTTTGCACAGAGACACCCACATCACAAAAACCGCTGTGGTTTTGGCACCAAGCAACATCTTTGTTGGGAATTTCAGTGATAAAGTTAAAGATGAGTTAAAGGGTATAAATTATTCCTGGAGGAATTTTCTTGTGGGAAAAGCTCATTGTAGGGTCTCAGAAGGGAAGGACCCACACTGTCATCGTGTCCTTGTGTTCTGGTGATGACTAGAAGCCCTGGTTTTCCTGCCAGCCACTCTCAGAGATCTAAGACTCAGAAACCCCTTTTGGCCAGTGTGTCCAGATTTATTTTATTCTAAAATAAGGATGGCTGTAACTGATATATCCAGAGGTCCAGAGTGGTGTTCTTAGCTTAACCAAACTCAAAATGATCCCCAGATTTGTGCATACACACAAAAAAGAAACTATCTGGGTCTATCTTTTACAGAATACACTCTTCCAGGTGAGTGGGTATGCTAAGGATGACAAATTAACATTTAGGACAAGGTTTTATTTACAGTTCTTACGTGTAAATCAGTCAAAACAAAGTGGACAACCAAAACAAGTTTTCTATATACAGAAGACTGATGGTACTTAAACAGTGGATCTCAGTAGAATACAATGAGAAGGGATAATGGACTCCCACCACACCTTCTAAACAAGGTGTCCGTATATTCTGGTTCCGGCTTTACACTTGTTGTCCAGGTATAATTTTCATAGACCAAGTATAATTTCTTACTCCGAAAATGTATCCTACTTTGGACGGTGGTCATCTTACCTCTAGTGCACGTTGTAGAATAGTCCTTACTGACCCTGGATGATGTCTCAGGCGATCTCACCAAGAGCTTTCCTGGTCTCTTTTGGGTTTTAGTACCCACATTTACTATCTGTATCATTTCCAGATTGAAGCTCCAGGTGAGATGGAGTAAGCACACAGCCCCCTACCTTTCCCACTCATTGTAGCTATGAAACCTGAATAAAGTGCATATAAAAATCAGTTTGAGGATTTTGAAAAGTACGTCAAAGCAGGAAGATTGGAGAAGACAAGAATTCAAAGTTCCACGATTTTATTTTCCTCCAATATCTCTTAGTTTAGATATGGTCTCTGGGACCACAGTCCAAGAGACCATATCTTTAGATATTTAGATATGTGGTCTCTTGGACCACAGTCCAAAACCCAGGAGTGGACCTTAGTGTTAACACTAGTTCCAGAAGAAGCCCTCTAGTTCTGCCTTGAAGACCGGGAAAGGTGTTTCCTAACACTCCCGTATAGTTTCCTTTCTATATTCTCTTCCTTCCTAGCCCCTGTGCAATCCTGTGTTGGCATCAGTGACACCAACAAAAGCAGAGAAAAGAGGGGTCCTCAAGAGCCTATATCTCTCTAGGAGGGAGAATTGTCCATTTTGATACAAGGAGCTGTGGTCTCAAGGTGAGGCAAATCTCTATTGATTTTTTTTTTTTTTTGTCTCTCTTACCACTTGGCTGGGGAGGTGGAAGCAGTGGGAGGAAGTGCACTGCAGGGTGGAGCACTTAACGCACCAGCACTCTTGCCAGAGAACTACAGAGAGGAAGACAAGAGACCTACAGAACCTGAAAGTACTGTGCAGAGTGCTGACAGCGAGGAGCTCGGGAAAGCAAACCCGTAAAGCTGCTTACAAACTCCAAGGCTCATCCCCAAGCTGCACATGCATGAGTCTGACCCTAAATAGAATCCCATAAACTCTGAGAATTAAACTACAGGATAGACTGCTTCCTGAGTTCCAGGGACAAGTCTAAATAGAACTGAAGGACAGTGAAATAGAACTGACATTGAAACCACAAGGCTGGTTAGAATTTTGGGCTTGAATCCAACTAGGCCGGTTGCCTGCTTAAACAAAAATAGCATTGTACATAGGATTTCAACAGGGTCCAGAGTTGCATGACATAATATTTTAAATATTCGGGATACAATCCATTGAAAGCAAAATGTGATAACCTCTTCTGATGGAATTTTCGATGTAGGTAGGTGTGATATATTAGTCAAGTACAGCATAAAAGGGACAGAGTAGGGGAACCTGTGTGGTGGTTAGGTAACTACATCCTACTTGAAACGGTAAAATATCGATTCTAAGAAAAAAGTGAAAACATACTTTAATCCCTTGAGCAACCACTAAAACAAACAAACAAATGAAAAACAAGTATTGTTAAGACATAATAGATGAATTTAAATGGACTAATAAAAGTGTTTAAATAACCCAAAAGAAGAAAGGAAAAGGAAAATAGAGGAACAAATAACTGAGGAAATAAACAGAAATCAAACAATAAAATGGTAGACAGAAACCCAAATATATTAATAATTATATCAAATGTCAAATGTATAAACATAGTAAGTAGAAGACCAAGATTATTAGAACACACTTTTTTAAATGACTGTATTTCAACTATATCCCTCTGCAATAAACACATTTCAAATATAATGATATAAGCAGGTTGAAAGTAAAAGGTTAGATATAAACGTATTATAAACAATAATTAAAGGAATGTTAGAGTGCTTATATTAACATCAGCTTAAGGAGACTTCAGAGAAAAGGAAATTACCAGGGATAAAGATGATAAAAAATGAATTTGCCAAGAAGACATAACAGTCTTCAATGTGTATGCACCTAACATCAGAGTTTCAAAATACATGCAACAAAAACTGACAGAACTAAATGAAGAAATAGACAAATCCACAACAGATTCTCAAATAAATTCTCCCCAAATTGATTTAGAAGTTTAACATAATTTCCTTCAGTATCCAAGAAGAATTTTTTGTAGATCCAGGCAAACTGATTCTAAAATTTTAATGGAAAAGTAAATAACCTAAAATAATCAAAGCAGGGACTTCCCTAGTGGCTCAGTGGTTAAGAATCTGCCTGCCAGTGCAGGAGATACGGGTTCGAGCCCTGGTCCAGGAAGATCCCACATGCCGCGGAGCAAGGAAGCCTGTGCACCACAACTACTGAGCCTGCATTCTAGAGCCCCTGCGAGCCACAAATACTGAGCTCGTGTGTCACAAAAACTGAAGCCCTCATGCCACAACTACTGAAGCCCACGCGCCTAGAGCCCGTGCTCCGCAACAAGAGAAGCCACCGCAGTGAGAAGTCCGTGCACTGCAACAAAGAGTAGCGCCCACTCGCCGCAACTAGAGAAAGCCCGCAGGCAGCAACAAAGACCCAATGCAGCCAAAAATAAAAACAAATAAATAAATTTTTAAAAAATCAGAGCAATTTGCAAAAGAAAATAAAGTTGGAGGAATTACACTGCTCAACTTTATAAATCAATATAAATTTACAGCAATCAAGTCAATGCTATATTGGCTAAGTAATAGATCAATAAAAAAAAATCAAGAGTGCAAAAATACACCCATACAGATATGGCCTGTTGAGTCTTGATAAAGTGTGAAAGGTAATTCAATGAAGAAAGGACAGAGTTTTAAACAAAGGGTGTTAAATAATTGGCCATCATATGCAATAAGATGAACTTGAAACCTTACACAAACATTAACTCAAAATGGACCATAGATCTAGATGTAAAACTAAACCTGTAAAAATTTTAGAAGAAAATATGACCTGAGATTAGGCAGAGTTCTTAGATATGTCACCAAAAGCATGACCTATAAGAAAAAAGATTAGTAAATTGGATTTCAAAAAATTAAAAACATTTGTTATGAGAAAAATACTGTCAAAATAATGAAAAAACAAGCCTTAAGCATGTAGAAAATATTTGAAAATCACATATCCAATGAAGGATTTGTAACTAGAATATGTAAAGATCTCTCTAAATTCAATAATAAAGAGCAAACTACCCAATGTAAAAAAAGGAGCAAAAAATTTGAATAGACAATTTACTAAAAAGGATACATAGATGGCAAATAAGCGCATAAAAAGATGTGCAACGTCAATATCTATTAGGAAAACGTAAATTAAAATAGCCCCCCAAAGAAGAAAAAAAAATTGACAATACCAGACGCAGATGATGACATGGATACCTGGAGCTCTCATATACTTCTCATGGAAAGCAAATGGTCCAGCCATTCTACAAAACAGCTTAACACCTCCTTACAAAGTGAAACATCCACTTACTATATATTCCAGAAATCCCATTCCTAGATATCAGTCCCAGAGAAATGAAAATTATGTTCACATACATACACGTATTCTGTACATGAATGTTTATAGCAGCTCTGGTCAAAATCATCACTATCTGGAAAGAACTCAACGACCTTAAACTAGTGTGTATCAGTTTGGCTCCCATCGGGAGACAGAAACCGCACAGTAATTTTTAAAGGGAATCTTTAATATAAACAATTATTTGGCTATAAGAGAGTGAGTATAGAGATGTCAGTAGAACTCGAGAGTATCTTGGGGCTGAAGGAGAGCAGGGAGACAAACTTGGAAGGAGTCTCCTCCCCAAGTCTGGGGTTCAGACATTGTTAGAGAAGGTGAGATATTGCCCACTGAATGGCAAAGTTCTCTTAGTTGCCTGGGCCAGAGCTAGTGCCACAGTTGCTGGAAAGCAGCCAGCAGACTCCCAGGACAGAGCAAGCCATGGCTGGTGGACGGACTCATGGCATGAATGGGGGCACGGCTGTGGGCATGAGGTCTGGAGCACCCGGGTCCGCATTGTGGGAGCTTCAGGGACCAAAGTTTTGGTGTGCAGGTGAGCCAAAGCCGCGGCAGGGGTGCACGGGGGAATGCGGAGGGCCACGTGGGCCGGAGACTTGGACTGCACGGTGTCCATGAGAGGCCAGGACTGCAAGGTGCCTAAGAGGTAATTTCCTCTGTGTGCACAGCTTGGGCAGGGCACCAACAGATGTCACACACCCATGCTGCTGACTGATAGTGCAGCAACAGGAAGAATAACACAAAACACAGCAGCTGGAACCAGGAAGGCCCTCCTGCAAGGCCCCTCCGACTCCCTCCACTGATGGAGCTCAACGTTGTCCTCACCGGAAGGGATAAATGCTTCAAAAATCCAGTCTATTCCGTGGAGCAGATACTGAATGGTGAATTTGGGGCTCAGAGGTAATCAAGTGATACCTGGCATAGGGTGCATCTATCAGTCAATAGTTGTACCTGCAAAAATTAAACACTTCGTAGAAATAAAAAAGAACGTACTACTGAGACACACAGCAGCTAGGCTGAATCTCAAAGCATAAGGCTGAGTGTAAAACATCTAAGTTCAAAAGGTTACATTTTTCCATTTATATGACATTTGCAGGGAGCCAAAACCGCGGCAGAGAAGAGATCTGTGGTTTCCAGGGGTTAGGGGTGGAGGAAGGTGTGAAAAGGGGACACACAAAAGGAGAGTGCAAGAAAGTAACCTGCCTTCCTTGGTGATGGTGTGAATCTATATGTGTTAAAATTCATACAGTCGTGCACCCCAAAGGCCGATTTTGTTCTATGTTAATTTTAAAATAAAAAATTTAAAAGACTACTTTAATCTAATATCAGAACTTTAGTCTCCAGTCCAGTTCAGACTTCTCCTTTTACCCCAGCTTAGGTCCGACCGGCAATGGGACAGAGAGTGTGGTCTATTTTCCCCTTCTGTTCTACTTCCTCCTGTCTGCTTCGGCCTTTTCCTTCGCCGTGTTTAGAGGGAGGAGAAAGGAGAAGGAGGAAAGAGTTTCTTTAACTCAGATGATGCTCTTTGAAATTCTCTCTTACTGGTGGAATGCCCTTTCTTCTACGTGATGCCAAACGTCTGGCTCCCTCTGTTTGAGGCATTCTTGTGGGTTCTTTGCACACCCTCCCCCAACCCCCAGATCCCACCAGGACCTCCACTGCTCCTGATGCACCTGACTCAGGTCATGCCTTCTCTGGATACCCCTCATCTCCTGCCCCACGCAGTGAAGCCCCTCATGGCCAGTTTTTCCACTGTGATTCACCCACCTCACGGGGAATCAGATGCCCACTTTCCCGCCGCTGCACCTACTGTTTCTCCTCTGCTCCAGCCGGTCTCCTACTTTCAATGATATCCTGCTGAGGGTCAGGCACCAGTCTGATCTTTGAATTCCAAAGGAAAAATGAATTCTCAAGAATTTTGGGGGGGAGGTGGGATGAATTGGGAGATTAGGATTGATAAACGTACACTACTATGTATAAAATAGAGTACTAATGAGAACCTGCTGTAGAGCACAAGGAACTCTACTCAATGCTCTGTGGTGACCTAAACGGAAGGAAATCCCAAAAAGAGGGGTTATATGTATACATATAGCTGATTCACTTTGCTGTACAGCAGAAACTAACACAACACTGTAAAGCAACTGTACTCCAATAAAAAATGTTTTTTTAATTTTTTAAATTAAATTTAATTTTTAAAATTTTTGGCTGCATTGGGTCTTTGTTGCTGCGCGTGGGCTTTCTCTAGTTGCGGCGAGCGGGGGCTACTCTTCATTGAGGTGTGCGG